CAGCTACACCGGATTCTTCATCAAGTCTCCCAAGTGCAACCTATGGGACACTATCTGCTGAAACCACTTCAAGTTCAGCGTCCGGAGCAACAGAGCCAAGAGAGAGTACAAGAAGTCTGATAACATCTAGGACACCATCTTCTGATATCACTACAAGTGCACGTTCAGGATCAACAGCACCACCAGACAGTTCAAGAAGTTTGCTAACAGCAATGTCCAGGACACCATCTTCTGAAACCACTGAACTTGCACCTCCAGGAGCCACAGGTACCCCTGATGCCTCCTGGACACCGTCTCCTGAAACCATCTCAAGTGCACCTCCTGCAGCCACAGCTACACCGGATTCTTCATCAAGTCTCCCAAGTGCAACTGATGGGACACCCTCTTCTGAAACCACTTCAAGTTTACCTTCAGGATCAACAGGACTACCAGAGAGTTCGAGTAGTCTGCTGACAGCAACGTCTAGGACACCATCTTCTGAAACCACTGCACGTGCACCTACTGGCGCCACAGGTACAAATAATTCTTCAACTAGCCTCCCAAAAGCAACCACTTGGACACTATCTGCTGAAACCACTTCAAGTTCAGCTTCAATAGCAACAGGGCCAAGAGAGAGTACAAGAAGTCTGATGACGTCTAGGACACCATCTTCTGAAACCACCTCAAGTGAACCTCCTGCAGCAACAGCTACACCGGATTCTTCATCAAGTCTCCCAAGTGCAACCTATGGGACACTATCTGCTGAAACCACTTCAAGTTCAGCGTCCGGAGCAACAGAGCCAAGAGAGAGTACAAGAAGTCTGATAACATCTAGGACACCATCTTCTGATATCACTACAAGTGCACGTTCAGGATCAACAGCACCACCAGACAGTTCAAGAAGTTTGCTAACAGCAATGTCCAGGACACCATCTTCTGAAACCACTGAACTTGCACCTCCAGGAGCCACAGGTACCCCTGATGCCTCCTGGACACCGTCTCCTGAAACCATCTCAAGTGCACCTCCTGCAGCCACAGCTACACCGGATTCTTCATCAAGTCTCCCAAGTGCAACTGATGGGACACCCTCTTCTGAAACCACTTCAAGTTTACCTTCAGGATCAACAGGACTACCAGAGAGTTCGAGTAGTCTGCTGACAGCAATGTCTAGGACACCATCTTCTGAAACCACTGCACGTGCACCTACTGGCGCCACAGGTACAAATAATTCTTCAACTAGCCTCCCAAAAGCAACCACTTGGACACTATCTGCTGAAACCACTTCAAGTTCAGCTTCAATAGCAACAGGGCCAAGAGAGAGTGCAAGAAGTCTGATGACGTCTAGGACACCATCTTCTGAAACCACCTCAAGTGAACCTCCTGCAGCAACAGCTACACCGGATTCTTCATCAAGTCTCCCAAGTGCAACCTATGGGACACTATCTGCTGAAACCACTTCAAGTTCAGCGTCCGGAGCAACAGAGCCAAGAGAGAGTACAAGAAGTCTGATAACATCTAGGACACCATCTTCTGATATCACTACAAGTGCACGTTCAGGATCAACAGCACCACCAGACAGTTCAAGAAGTTTGCTAACAGCAATGTCCAGGACACCATCTTCTGAAACCACTGAACTTGCACCTCCAGGAGCCACAGGTACCCCTGATGCCTCCTGGACACCGTCTCCTGAAACCATCTCAAGTGCACCTCCTGCAGCCACAGCTACACCGGATTCTTCATCAAGTCTTCCAAGTGCAACTGATGGGACACCCTCTTCTGAAACGACTTCAAGTTTACCTTCAGGATCAACAGGACTACCAGAGAGTTCGAGTAGTCTGCTGACAGCAACGTCAAGGACACCACCTTCTGAAACCACTGTACGTGCACCTACTGGCGCCACAGGTACAAATGATTCTTCAACTAGCCTCCCAAAAGCAGCCACTTGGACACTATCTGCTGAAACCACTTCAAGTTCAGCTTCAGTACCAACATGGCCAAGAGACAGTACAAGAAGTCTGATGACGTCTCGGACACCATCTCCTGAAACCACCTCAAGTGCACCTCCTGCGGCCACAGCTACACCGGATTCTTCATCAAGTCTCCCAAGTGCAACCTATGGGAAACTATCTGCTGAAACCACTTCAAGTTCAGCGTCCGGAGCAACAGAGCCAAGAGAGAGTACAAGAAGTCTGATAACATCTAGGACACCATCTTCTGATATCACTACAAGTGCACGTTCAGGATCAACAGCACCACCAGACAGTTCAAGAAGTTTGCTAACAGCAATGTCCAGGACACCATCTTCTGAAACCACTGAACTTGCACCTCCAGGAGCCACAGGTACCCCTGATGCCTCCTGGACACCGTCTCCTGAAACCATCTCAAGTGCACCTCCTGCAGCCACAGCTACACCGGATTCTTCATCAAGTCTTCCAAGTGCAACTGATGGGACACCCTCTTCTGAAACCACTTCAAGTTTACCTTCAGGATCAACAGGACTACCAGAGAGTTCGAGTAGTCTGCTGACAGCAATGTCTAGGACACCATCTTCTGAAACCACTGCACTTGCACCTACTGGCGCCACAGGTACAAATGATTCTTCAACTAGCCTCCCAAAAGCAGCCACTTGGACACTATCTGCTGAAACCACTTCAAGTTCAGCTTCAGTACCAACATGGCCAAGAGACAGTACAAGAAGTCTGATGACGTCTCGGACACCATCTCCTGAAACCACCTCAAGTGCACCTCCTGCGGCCACAGCTACACCGGATTCTTCATCAAGTCTCCCAAGTGCAACCTATGGGACACTATCTGCTGAAACCACTTCAAGTTCAGCGTCCGGAGCAACAGAGCCAAGAGAGAGTACAAGAAGTCTGATAACATCTAGGACACCATCTTCTGATATCACTACACATGCACGTTCAGGATCAACAGCACCACCAGACAGTTCAAGAACTTTGCTGACAGCAACGTCTAGGACACCATCTTCTGAAACCACTGTACCTGAACCTACTGGCGCCACAGGTACAAATGATTCTTCAACTAGCCTCCCAAAAGCAGCCACTTGGACACTATCTGCTGAAACCACTTCAAGTTCAGCGTCCGGAGCAACAGAGCCAAGAGAGAGTACAAGAAGTATGATAACATCTAGGACACCATCTTCTGATATCACTACAAGTGCACGTTCAGGATCAACAGCACCACCAGACAGTTCAAGAAGTTTGCTAACAGCAATGTCCAGGACACCATCTTCTGAAACCACTGAACTTGCACCTCCAGGAGCCACAGGTACCCCTGATGCCTCCTGGACACCGTCTCCTGAAACCATCTCAAGTGCACCTCCTGCAGCCACAGCTACACCGGATTCTTCATCAAGTCTCCCAAGTGCAACTGATGGGACACCCTCTTCTGAAACCACTTCAAATTTACCTTCAGGATCAACAGGACTACCAGAGAGTTCGAGTAGTCTGCTGACAGCAATGTCTAGGACACCATCTTCTGAAACCACTGCACGTGCACCTACTGGCGCCACAGGTACAAATAATTCTTCAACTAGCCTCCCAAAAGCAACCACTTGGACACTATCTGCTGAAACCACTTCAAGTTCAGCTTCAATAGCAACAGGGCCAAGAGAGAGTGCAAGAAGTCTGATGACGTCTAGGACACCATCTCCTGAAACCACCTCAAGTGCACCTCCTGCGGCCACAGCTACACCGGATTCTTCATCAAGTCTCCCAAGTGCAACCTATGGGAAACTATCTGCTGAAACCACTTCAAGTTCAGCGTCCGGAGCAACAGAGCCAAGAGAGAGTACAAGAAGTCTGATAACATCTAGGACACCATCTTCTGATATCACTACAAGTACACGTTCAGGATCAACAGCACCACCAGACAGTTCAAGAAGTTTGCTAACAGCAATGTCCAGGACACCATCTTCTGAAACCACTGAACTTGCACCTCCAGGAGCCACAGGTACCCCTGATGCCTCCTGGACACCGTCTCCTGAAACCATCTCAAGTGCACCTCCTGCAGCCACAGCTACACCGGATTCTTCATCAAGTCTCCCAAGTGCAACTGATGGGACACCCTCTTCTGAAACCACTTCAAGTTTACCTTCAGGATCAACAGGACTACCAGAGAGTTCGAGTAGTCTGCTGACAGCAATGTCTAGGACACCATCTTCTGAAACCACTGCACGTGCACCTACTGGCGCCACAGGTACAAATAATTCTTCAACTAGCCTCCCAAAAGCAACCACTTGGACACTATCTGCTGAAACCACTTCAAGTTCAGCTTCAATAGCAACAGGGCCAAGAGAGAGTGCAAGAAGTCTGATGACGTCTAGGACACCATCTTCTGAAACCACCTCAAGTGAACCTCCTGCAGCAACAGCTACACCGGATTCTTCATCAAGTCTCCCAAGTGCAACCTATGGGACACTATCTGCTGAAACCACTTCAAGTTCAGCGTCCGGAGCAACAGAGCCAAGAGAGAGTACAAGAAGTCTGATAACATCTAGGACACCATCTTCTGATATCACTACAAGTGCACGTTCAGGATCAACAGCACCACCAGACAGTTCAAGAAGTTTGCTAACAGCAATGTCCAGGACACCATCTTCTGAAACCACTGAACTTGCACCTCCAGGAGCCACAGGTACCCCTGATGCCTCCTGGACACCGTCTCCTGAAACCATCTCAAGTGCACCTCCTGCAGCCACAGCTACACCGGATTCTTCATCAAGTCTTCCAAGTGCAACTGATGGGACACCCTCTTCTGAAACGACTTCAAGTTTACCTTCAGGATCAACAGGACTACCAGAGAGTTCGAGTAGTCTGCTGACAGCAACGTCAAGGACACCACCTTCTGAAACCACTGTACGTGCACCTACTGGCGCCACAGGTACAAATGATTCTTCAACTAGCCTCCCAAAAGCAGCCACTTGGACACTATCTGCTGAAACCACTTCAAGTTCAGCTTCAGTACCAACATGGCCAAGAGACAGTACAAGAAGTCTGATGACGTCTCGGACACCATCTCCTGAAACCACCTCAAGTGCACCTCCTGCGGCCACAGCTACACCGGATTCTTCATCAAGTCTCCCAAGTGCAACCTATGGGAAACTATCTGCTGAAACCACTTCAAGTTCAGCGTCCGGAGCAACAGAGCCAAGAGAGAGTACAAGAAGTCTGATAACATCTAGGACACCATCTTCTGATATCACTACAAGTGCACGTTCAGGATCAACAGCACCACCAGACAGTTCAAGAAGTTTGCTAACAGCAATGTCCAGGACACCATCTTCTGAAACCACTGAACTTGCACCTCCAGGAGCCACAGGTACCCCTGATGCCTCCTGGACACCGTCTCCTGAAACCATCTCAAGTGCACCTCCTGCAGCCACAGCTACACCGGATTCTTCATCAAGTCTTCCAAGTGCAACTGATGGGACACCCTCTTCTGAAACCACTTCAAGTTTACCTTCAGGATCAACAGGACTACCAGAGAGTTCGAGTAGTCTGCTGACAGCAATGTCTAGGACACCATCTTCTGAAACCACTGCACTTGCACCTACTGGCGCCACAGGTACAAATGATTCTTCAACTAGCCTCCCAAAAGCAGCCACTTGGACACTATCTGCTGAAACCACTTCAAGTTCAGCTTCAGTACCAACATGGCCAAGAGACAGTACAAGAAGTCTGATGACGTCTCGGACCCATCTCCTGAAACCACCTCAAGTGCACCTCCTGCGGCCACAGCTACACCGGATTCTTCATCAAGTCTCCCAAGTGCAACCTATGGGACACTATCTGCTGAAACCACTTCAAGTTCAGCGTCCGGAGCAACAGAGCCAAGAGAGAGTACAAGAAGTCTGATAACATCTAGGACACCATCTTCTGATATCACTACACATGCACGTTCAGGATCAACAGCACCACCAGACAGTTCAAGAACTTTGCTAACAGCAATGTCCAGGATACCATCTTCTGAAACAACTGAACTTGCACCTCCAGGAGCCACAGGTACCCCTGATGCCTCCTGGACACCGTCTCCTGAAACCATCTCAAGTGCACCTCCTGCAGCCACAGCTACACCGGATTCTTCATCAAGTCTCCCAAGTGCAACTGATGGGACACCCTCTTCTGAAACCACTTCAAGTTTACCTTCAGGATCAACAGGACTACCAGAGAGTTCGAGTAGTCTGCTGACAGCAACGTCTAGGACACCATCTTCTGAAACCACTGCACGTGCACCTACTGGCGCCACAGGTACAAATAATTCTTCAACTAGCCTCCCAAAAGCAACCACTTGGACACTATCTGCTGAAACCACTTCAAGTTCAGCTTCAATAGCAACAGGGCCAAGAGAGAGTACAAGAAGTCTGATGACGTCTAGGACACCATCTTCTGAAACCACCTCAAGTGAAACTCCTGCAGCAACAGCTACACCGGATTCTTCATCAAGTCTCCCAAGTGCAACCTATGGGACACTATCTGCTGAAACCACTTCAAGTTCAGCGTCCGGAGCAACAGAGCCAAGAGAGAGTACAAGAAGTCTGATAACATCTAGGACACCATCTTCTGATATCACTACAAGTGCACGTTCAGGATCAACAGCACCACCAGACAGTTCAAGAAGTTTGCTAACAGCAATGTCCAGGACACCATCTTCTGAAACCACTGAACTTGCACCTCCAGGAGCCACAGGTACCCCTGATGCCTCCTGGACACCGTCTCCTGAAACCATCTCAAGTGCACCTCCTGCAGCCACAGCTACACCGGATTCTTCATCAAGTCTTCCAAGTGCAACTGATGGGACACCCTCTTCTGAAACCACTTCAAGTTTACCTTCAGGATCAACAGGACTACCAGAGAGTTCGAGTAGTCTGCTGACAGCAACGTCAAGGACACCATCTTCTGAAACCACTGTACGTGCACCTACTGGCGCCACAGGTACAAATGATTCTTCAACTAGCCTCCCAAAAGCAGCCACTTGGACACTATCTGCTGAAACCACTTCAAGTTCAGCTTCAGTACCAACATGGCCAAGAGACAGTACAAGAAGTCTGATGACGTCTCGGACACCATCTCCTGAAACCACCTCAAGTGCACCTCCTGCGGCCACAGCTACACCGGATTCTTCATCAAGTCTCCCAAGTGCAACCTATGGGAAACTATCTGCTGAAACCACTTCAAGTTCAGCGTCCGGAGCAACAGAGCCAAGAGAGAGTACAAGAAGTCTGATAACATCTAGGACACCATCTTCTGATATCACTACAAGTGCACGTTCAGGATCAACAGCACCACCAGACAGTTCAAGAAGTTTGCTAACAGCAATGTCCAGGACACCATCTTCTGAAACCACTGAACTTGCACCTCCAGGAGCCACAGGTACCCCTGATGCCTCCTGGACACCGTCTCCTGAAACCATCTCAAGTGCACCTCCTGCAGCCACAGCTACACCGGATTCTTCATCAAGTCTTCCAAGTGCAACTGATGGGACACCCTCTTCTGAAACCACTTCAAGTTTACCTTCAGGATCAACAGGACTACCAGAGAGTTCGAGTAGTCTGCTGACAGCAATGTCTAGGACACCATCTTCTGAAACCACTGCACTTGCACCTACTGGCGCCACAGGTACAAATGATTCTTCAACTAGCCTCCCAAAAGCAGCCACTTGGACACTATCTGCTGAAACCACTTCAAGTTCAGCTTCAGTACCAACATGGCCAAGAGACAGTACAAGAAGTCTGATGACGTCTCGGACACCATCTCCTGAAACCACCTCAAGTGCACCTCCTGCGGCCACAGCTACACCGGATTCTTCATCAAGTCTCCCAAGTGCAACCTATGGGACACTATCTGCTGAAACCACTTCAAGTTCAGCGTCCGGAGCAACAGAGCCAAGAGAGAGTACAAGAAGTCTGATAACATCTAGGACACCATCTTCTGATATCACTACACATGCACGTTCAGGATCAACAGCACCACCAGACAGTTCAAGAACTTTGCTGACAGCAACGTCTAGGACACCATCTTCTGAAACCACTGTACCTGAACCTACTGGCGCCACAGGTACAAATGATTCTTCAACTAGCCTCCCAAAAGCAGCCACTTGGACACTATCTGCTGAAACCACTTCAAGTTCAGCGTCCGGAGCAACAGAGCCAAGAGAGAGTACAAGAAGTATGATAACATCTAGGACACCATCTTCTGATATCACTACAAGTGCACGTTCAGGATCAACAGCACCACCAGACAGTTCAAGAAGTTTGCTAACAGCAATGTCCAGGACACCATCTTCTGAAACCACTGAACTTGCACCTCCAGGAGCCACAGGTACCCCTGATGCCTCCTGGACACCGTCTCCTGAAACCATCTCAAGTGCACCTCCTGCAGCCACAGCTACACCGGATTCTTCATCAAGTCTCCCAAGTGCAACTGATGGGACACCCTCTTCTGAAACCACTTCAAATTTACCTTCAGGATCAACAGGACTACCAGAGAGTTCGAGTAGTCTGCTGACAGCAATGTCTAGGACACCATCTTCTGAAACCACTGCACGTGCACCTACTGGCGCCACAGGTACAAATAATTCTTCAACTAGCCTCCCAAAAGCAACCACTTGGACACTATCTGCTGAAACCACTTCAAGTTCAGCTTCAATAGCAACAGGGCCAAGAGAGAGTGCAAGAAGTCTGATGACGTCTAGGACACCATCTCCTGAAACCACCTCAAGTGCACCTCCTGCGGCCACAGCTACACCGGATTCTTCATCAAGTCTCCCAAGTGCAACCTATGGGAAACTATCTGCTGAAACCACTTCAAGTTCAGCGTCCGGAGCAACAGAGCCAAGAGAGAGTACAAGAAGTCTGATAACATCTAGGACACCATCTTCTGATATCACTACAAGTGCACGTTCAGGATCAACAGCACCACCAGACAGTTCAAGAAGTTTGCTAACAGCAATGTCCAGGACACCATCTTCTGAAACCACTGAACTTGCACCTCCAGGAGCCACAGGTACCCCTGATGCCTCCTGGACACCGTCTCCTGAAACCATCTCAAGTGCACCTCCTGCAGCCACAGCTACACCGGATTCTTCATCAAGTCTCCCAAGTGCAACTGATGGGACACCCTCTTCTGAAACCACTTCAAGTTTACCTTCAGGATCAACAGGACTACCAGAGAGTTCGAGTAGTCTGCTGACAGCAATGTCTAGGACACCATCTTCTGAAACCACTGCACGTGCACCTACTGGCGCCACAGGTACAAATAATTCTTCAACTAGCCTCCCAAAAGCAACCACTTGGACACTATCTGCTGAAACCACTTCAAGTTCAGCTTCAATAGCAACAGGGCCAAGAGAGAGTGCAAGAAGTCTGATGACGTCTAGGACACCATCTTCTGAAACCACCTCAAGTGAACCTCCTGCAGCAACAGCTACACCGGATTCTTCATCAAGTCTCCCAAGTGCAACCTATGGGACACTATCTGCTGAAACCACTTCAAGTTCAGCGTCCGGAGCAACAGAGCCAAGAGAGAGTACAAGAAGTCTGATAACATCTAGGACACCATCTTCTGATATCACTACAAGTGCACGTTCAGGATCAACAGCACCACCAGACAGTTCAAGAAGTTTGCTAACAGCAATGTCCAGGACACCATCTTCTGAAACCACTGAACTTGCACCTCCAGGAGCCACAGGTACCCCTGATGCCTCCTGGACACCGTCTCCTGAAACCATCTCAAGTGCACCTCCTGCAGCCACAGCTACACCGGATTTTTCATCAAGTCTTCCAAGTGCAACTGATGGGACACCCTCTTCTGAAACGACTTCAAGTTTACCTTCAGGATCAACAGGACTACCAGAGAGTTCGAGTAGTCTGCTGACAGCAACGTCAAGGACACCACCTTCTGAAACCACTGTACGTGCACCTACTGGCGCCACAGGTACAAATGATTCTTCAACTAGCCTCCCAAAAGCAGCCACTTGGACACTATCTGCTGAAACCACTTCAAGTTCAGCTTCAGTACCAACATGGCCAAGAGACAGTACAAGAAGTCTGATGACGTCTCGGACACCATCTCCTGAAACCACCTCAAGTGCACCTCCTGCGGCCACAGCTACACCGGATTCTTCATCAAGTCTCCCAAGTGCAACCTATGGGAAACTATCTGCTGAAACCACTTCAAGTTCAGCGTCCGGAGCAACAGAGCCAAGAGAGAGTACAAGAAGTCTGATAACATCTAGGACACCATCTTCTGAT